GAACTTACCGCCATTTCCCCGATTGATATGTATAGCACTAGATCCTCCCCAAGAACCGGCTTAGACTATAGAGACAGATTGGCTAACACCTTCTGTAACTCCTCGAATGACCTCTGGGCCTCCTCCGTCCACTGGAATTTCGAGCTCTTTCTCAGTGTTCGAAACAGAGGACCGCTCTTCTCCGCCACCTTCGATATGAAACGGCTCAGGCCCACGATCCTGCCCGTCAGGATCTGCACCTCCTTCACCTTTGTGGGCGATTTCATCTCGATCACCGCCCTCACCTTCTCCGGGTTGACCTCGATCCCCCTCTTTGTCACCATATATCCCAGAAACTTTTCAGACTTCACTCCAAAAGAACACTTAGCAGGATTCAGTTTCATGCCATACCTTCGCAAAATCAAGAACGTCTCCTTTAAGTCATTCATGTGATCGGCCTCCGCCTTACTCTTTACCAACATATCATCAACGTAAACCTCCATATTTCTTCTCAGCTACTCCTTGAAAATTTTATCGACCAACTGCTGATACGCCGTACCCGCGTTCTTCAAGCCAAAGGGCATCACCACATAACAATAAGTGCCCCTGCTCGTAACGAAACTCACCCGCTTTCTACCCTCCCGAGCCAAAGGGATCTGGTGGTATCCCTGGGACGCATCCATAAGACTGAGCAACTCACACCCCGCGGTGGAATCGACCAACTGGTCGATCCTAGGCAATGGATACAAATCTTTCGGGCACGCCTTGTTTAAGTCACGAAAATCAATTCACATCCTCCACTTTCCCCTCGACTTAGACACCATCACCGTGTTCGACAACCATTCGAGAAACTGGATCTCCTTAACATGACCCGCCTTCAATAACTTCTCAACCTCCTGCTCGATCACCTTGTCCATCTCTGCGCCATGATGTCTCCTCTTCTGTTTCACCGGCCTCACCGTCAAATCAATGTTCAAACGATTCTCAATCACCTCCGTCTTTATCCCCGTTAACTCCTCAACCGTATGCGCGAAAACATCCGCGAACTCCCTGATCAACCCAATCAATCTCGACCTTATGGGCTCAACATTCCCTCTTCGAGCTTCATCTGTTTCCTCGAGAGCTGTTTATTGTTGTTCACCGTGGTTTGATAACAACTCCTCGAGGTAAGTTGATCCCCTGCAACCTCACCAACGTTTTCACCCACTGAATCTTCCCGACCCCTCCCTTTATCTTTCCCCTTCACCTTGTCCTCATACAAAAATTCCTTGAGATACCCTGCCCGAATGAGGCGCTCAATCTCATCTTTGAGGTGTCTGCACTTCTCCGTCGTATGCCCGTAATCTTTATGGAAACGGCAATACTTCCTCGACCTAGGTTGTGTCGGCCCCTCATGTCTCGATTTCGGCCACGTCACGTCATTGTCCTCTATCTTCTTCTCGATGGCCACCAACACTTCTCCCATCTTTGCATTCAGCGGTGTAAAGTTTTGGAACCGCTTCCCTCCAAACACTGGTCGATCCTTCCACATGTCCTCTTGTCCACGATCCATCCTGCCACGCCCCTCTCTCCTGGGTGATCTCCTCCTTGGTGACACCCTTCGAGGCGAGTTCGCCCTTCCTTTCTTCGGCTCTGGCTTAGCTAATTTCTCCAACTTAGCAAACTCCGCCTCCGTCTCCTCTAAGTTAATGTACTTCTTGCACCTCTTCAGCACGTCGTCATACGTACGAGCAGGGGTTTTGGCTAAGGATGTTCGAAAAGGCCCTGCTCGTAAACTCCTTATCAACCCTCTAGCCTTTACCTCGTCCGCGGCCGTGTGGATCTCCAAACAAGTTTGATTATATCGAGCTACATACTTGCGCAACGACTCTTTCTCCCCCTGTCTCATGGCCATCAGCGTCAAATACGTCTTCTCCTGCGCCACAGCGCTCGCGTATTGGGTCATCAACTTCTCTGCGAAATTGTCGAAGTACTTGATCGATCCATGAAGGAGCTGCTGGAACCAATCGAGCGCGCCTCTCCTCAAGGTCGATAAAAATGCCCTGCAGCTAACAGAATCAGAATAACCATGTAACACAGCCAAGTTCTCAGACGCCCTTACGTGCCTCGATGGGTTAGTAGTCCCATCGAACACCAAACTCATGTCCCTGAAATTCACGGGTAATGGTGCAGCCAATATGTCCCTCGAGAACGGGTGTCCTCGAGCACGCCTCTCAGGTCGGCCATCCATCTTGGCTTGCATCTGCCTCACCTGCTCCGCGAGTCTCTCCACCTCCCGATCTCGCAGAGCTCCATCTTCTCCATAGCTAGACACATCCTCGTCCACCATCGTCGGCCCAGCAGCCACTCGCGAAAGGCTTTGGGTGACTTGCTGAATCGCTTGTGCCGCCGAGTTCGCCACCATCTGCTGCATCTCCTGCCTGGTCATCACCACCTGCTGACCGAGGCGCTGCTCCTCAACCGGTGGCGGTGCTGCTCCCTGCGCCACCGCTCCTTGCCGCCAGATCTGGTTGCAACAGCGTTAGGATCACCGCTCCTTGAGTTGTACGGGCCTCCTGAGCTCGGCTTGAGCCCACGTCAGCCTCTGGTTGCACCGGCATGACTCCTACACCTTGGGGAATGGGCGTCAGAGTCACCGGTGTACGCAAGGGTCCAAAGAAGCCCAGGGGAGGGCCTTCTCTAAACGGCCTCATCATCGTCCACGCTTCGTCGAACGATGCTTGCAAATCTTTCCTAGGAATTCCGTCCGCCATAGCCGCCAAGCTTTAGCAATCTTAGGACACCACTTTTCGAACGAAAGTCCCACAGACGGCGTCAAATGGTAACGCAAAACACTCCGATCGGCTTGAAATCGGCTCGCTTTCCTCTTTCTCGCCGGTAGAACTCCGCGCACCTGCACAGAACTCTTACACTGGAGGAGTTTTCCAGTGAAGAGCCTCTGATGCTTAAGTCAATGTATATTTTACTCAATTCTCCAAAGTATGTAATGGATAAATCGTGAGTCACAAGAAAAGACCCACTGTTATATATATAGGAGTGAGATACCTGCCCTATGAGTTGCCCGGATCTGTTGAGCTGTCCTGCCCGTACTGCCCGTCCGTACACACACAGTATGTGTGTGTCAGAAGCGTCAGAGGTGGTTATCACCACTATTGCTCTGCACCAATGTACTCTTGCCATGTGTCCCTCTGAGGAGAGGGAGATTATTCTCTGTGCATCCTGTTAGGATCTTCTAACGCCACCCACGCGCTTTCTTGCGTTCAAGCCACGCTCTCGACTGCTCTTCACCTGTTGAGTGCTCGATCTGACCGAGTCCCCCATCGCTAAGTCGATCCTCAACCAGTTCTGCTATTCTGCTCGATCTCTTCCCTTTTGGTCGATTATCCTCCGACCAATGCAGTTTTCTCTACTTCGAGCTTGCCCGACCAATGTGGTAAGCCGGTCTATTCTTTAGCTATATAATATCCCATATCAGTATTAATTGGTGAAGGAGAGGGATTTGATTGAATAAGAGGTGGGGATGATAGAGAAAAATTTTCAGAAGTGGATGTAGAGGATTTGGATATGAAGTTTTCAGGTTTGGCAAAGGGAAATTTGGATTCATCAAAAACAATATCTCTGGTGATAATAACTTTGCCAGATGGTAAGAGAGCTTTGAAGCCTTGGTGCTTGGAGCTATAACCTAAGAAAGTGCTGGGAAGAGACCTGGGTTCAAGTTTGTGTTTGGTATATGGTCTTAGGTTTGGAAAACAAAGGCAACCAAATATTTTCAAGTTATTATAGTTTGGTTTTTGGCCATGAAGTTTCTGAAATGGAGATATAAAGGATAAGCTTTTAACAGGTAATCTATTGAGAATAAAAACAGTTGTGCTGAAAGCATCATCCCAATAATCTAAAAGGACATGAGACTAGGAAAGAAGAGTCAATCCCATCTCAACTATGGTTCTATGCCTCCTCTCAGCAAGCCCATTTTTGGTAGGAGTATAAGGACAAGAAAGTTTGTGTTGAATCCCAGTTTCTTGAAAAATTTTAGTGAGTGGTCTATACTCACCTCCCAACCACTCTGTGCTGCTTTAATCTTTTGGTTAAATTGATTTTCAACAAAGTTCTTAAAATGAAGAAACACAGTAGGCACCTCAGATCTTTGTTTTAGGAATTAAATCCAGGTAAACCGAGTGCAGTGATCAATAAAACACACATAGTAATGAGAGCCTGACTTTGAGGTGATGGGAGAAGGACCCCATAAGTCCGTGTGTATAAGCTCCAAAGGATTATTGTATTCAGTGTGAGAAGATGTGTAAGGTAATGAGTGGCTTTTAGCTTGCAAACAGGAAGAACAAACAAACTTTTCATTAATATCGAATGAGACATTACAGCTTTTCAACACCTTGGCAACTGCATCAAAGGCTGCATGTCCTAGCCTAGAGTGCCACAAATCTAGACTAGTGATTTTATTACAAGAGACTATAAAGGTGCTTGGACTAAACTGAGAACTAGGATAAGTGGTTGGTGAAGAAGTGGCAGACTTTGAACCTTGAGCATCAAACATGTAGACATTATCCTTAAGAGATCCTCTGAGAAGAACTTGGTGTGTTGTTAGATCCTTCACAAGACAAAATTTTGGGTGAAATTCAAAGTATACAGAGTTATCTCTGGCAAATTGGGAGACACTAATCAAATTTTTGGTAATTGAAGGAACACGAAGAAGGTTTTTCAAGAATAAAGGTTTTGAAGCTGTGTTAGTTTTGATAACATAATTGCCTATATGTGAACTGTTAGGCTTTGTTGGAAATGGTACAATAAGAACAAATGTCATTAATGAGCAAGCATTCAAACAAGTAAGTTTGAAGATGAAATTGATAAAATCTGAAAAGTGTATTGCTTCGGCTTTCTCTACAAGATGCCTTTAAATAGAGACTCACCTATGCTAAACCCTAGGAATCTACAAATGGAAAAAGGGCACGTGGCCATCCTTAGCCTACTAACTCAGTACAAGAAAAGGAGAAGCTTACAGCTCATACCTGCTGCTCATGAATGTACAGCTCATGCATGCAGCCAAAATAAGGAAAATAAATAAACTTATAGGATTAATATACTATTTGGAATACTTAGGTGGTCTAATAGGCTTCATTTGAAGCTGTTAGGAGTCCTTGGTTGTTGTTTTTGTTATACATTTTGAAGTTTTAATGAATTTATACGTTTNTAACAAATAAACGGAAAGTTAAGAAAATAAAAATACGAAATCAAAAGTGGTTTAGCTCAATGTAGTATTATCTCATATTCATAATAAAATTAACCAAATATAAATCATAGCAGTGTGATAAGTATAAATGAATCCCATGTAGAGTATCTCGAAATTTTTAAGGAAAACTAATATTAAAAAAATTAACTTAGATACTTTAAAAAGAAATTAAGCATTCATCGAAATGACAAAAATATTGCAGAAAAAGAAGTAGGGCACCAAGTGATGTGTCCAATTTATGAAAGTTGAATTAAAATCTCAACCTCCACTCATTCAATCCATTTTGTGTACAGATGCATTAACTGATTGTACCATACAAAATTAGCTTCTCAATTACTATGAAAATTTGGAACTGATAAGGACCATCAAATATGAGCCTACATTCAAATTAAATGCCATTTAAGATACTTAATTTCTTGTCCAACCAAATTACAATTTTTCGTTTCACTAGTATTCGATCATGTGCATTTGCACAAATTTAAATAAAGTGTTATAAGCTATTTATATATATATATATAATATTAAAATTATAAGTTAGATAGTATTAAATTTTATACATAGAGTATTATAAGTTATATTTATGCATATAATATTAAAATTATAACTTAGATAATGGTACTATATTTTAAATTTGATTATTGGTTAAAGCAAATAATATTTAACTATTTGATTTCATACGAATCACTATATTGATTGCATAAAATGTAATAAATAATGTAATATTTATAATTTGAGAGATCATGACCAATTAATTTAATTAAATATTAAATTTATTATGACAAATGCTTATGCGATTTTAAGAGATTTTACTATGAAATTAAAATAAAATAATTATTTAAAAAACAATCGCTTAGGGGGTGATTGTTTATTGATTCAACTAGTTTTTATTTGGTTTGTTTTTTAACTATAATTAATTTTGAAAAAGGATAGTATGGTTAGTTGTTAGTGGATATATTAAAATAATATTTAAATAAAATAATTAAAGTTGATTTGAATAAAGTAGGAGAAAAATGATTGAAAGTGATGGTTAGTTAAAATTATGTGAGTTGATGAATAATGAATTAAAGTTGATGTGATGTGTAAAAATGGTTGGTTGATATTATTTAATTATTTTAATAATATGGAAGATAGTAGAGTTGGGTTAAAGTTGAGTTAAATTTGAGTTTTGATTAATTTTTTTTACTGTTCAAAACATAAACAATCGCCCCCTTAATCAGATAAAAAATAATATTGATTTTATTATAAATAACTTGAACAAAAAAATTTTACAATATAATTTTTTATGTTTATTTAATTTTCATATATAATTTAATGTAAAATATAATTAGTATCTTTAATAATAACTATTATATGATACAATAAACATATAATTATTAATCAATTAACATAAAATACAACGATTTTTTTCTTAATTAAGCCAAAAAAGTACAAGAAAATATTTTATCACTAGTGGAATAAGGTGAATTAATGTACAAAAATAAAATAAAATAATAATAATAATAATAATAATAA